TTCTTATACTGGAAACTGTTAGATTAGACTACCATGTCAAATGAGTCTAAAAAAGCATGGATGTCTCACAGCCATCTAAAAACCACTTGGCCATTTCTGAAAGTGAATTAAGAATACATACCGATGGAGCATAAATGGTTGAGATGCAGTATCTCAGTAACTAACTTTATTTTTCAAGACATAAGGCAAAATGGCCAAAACCAAGAAGTATATTTATTCTTTATAAATCTCTGTTTTTAAAAATAGGAGAAATAGAAGAAGCATTTCAAGTATTTCACAATTATCTGTACAGGCTTTTTGTTTTTACTGTTACAAAATAGATATGGCCAAAGACATGGGATATAAATCTCAGGCATACTGTTGTTTTTTCCCCCTGGTTTACATGTAAGTTCTGAAACAAATATTTTTTTAAAAAACAACCCAGTATTACTCATTACATATAAAATAGCACATTATATTGAGACTCAATTAACAAAGTTAATGCTCTAAATATCTTTTTAGTGGAATAATGTTATGTTTCTGACACATAAAAAATTGAAAGGTTTCAGAATTTTTAAAGATAAAGAAAATGCTTTGTAAGCTTGATGATGAAATTTATTCAATAACAAGATCACTTTGCCATCTTTCCTGTGAAAACAAATCCCTAAGATGTAACCTATGCTGACTGCATTTAAGGAGCCCTAGCCACTCCAAGGAAGAAAGATGTGGCAGTCTGCATCTACAGGATTTACAGCCTTGGAAAGCCTACGAGGTAGTTTTACTCTGTCTCTCAGGACTATAAGAATCTGAATTGACTTGATGGCAATGAACTTGGCTTTTAGGTTTGACTTCATTATTTTTCAGTGGAAAAAGGCAGTGTATCTATCTATCTCACAACATACTGACAGCTCAGATTTTCATTTTTTTTTAAATGAAGCAACTGAATTTTGAAACAGGAAAGAAGCCTAAAGTTACTGCTTTTCTCTATTTATCCATATATATTATGATCTTTACTGCCTGAAAGATTTGGGAGTGTTGACCTAGAATTCACATTGCTTTCACAACTCCAAGATTACATGTTAACAAAACTAAATGGTGTCAATTACCTGCTACTCTAATATGAAATGTTTCATTTACAAGTCCTTACAAGAATTGAAAAAGGCCAAAGAAAACATATTATTGGGTTAAAGTTTTATAAACTTCTGCTGCAGTAAGAAATATTTTTTCCCTTAAGAGAATACTCTAAATTAGCAATACTCAAACCTAAACAGAAGTAAAGTACCAAGAAGAATCAGTATTCCTAAAATGTTACATTTGCTACTGTATTATTTTACTACTCCATTCATGAATGCCAACCAGTAGGAGACATGCTTAATTACCGTAGCATTATTTTAGCTAGTAGTTAAAAGAATCTAAGTACTTTTCATTACAGACACAGTGTTTAAAAGAATAGTTTCATTGCAAAAGCCAAACTATTCAGTGCGCTTCAGATTAAGAGACATACTCTTAATGTTGATCCATTTCTATCTTTATAAACAGAGGTACCAAGGGACAAATAAATGTACATAATGTTTTATTTCTGGAAGTATTTTCAAAATTAAAAGTTTTATGTAATAGAGTCGCTATGAGTCATCTAAGACTTCACGGCCCCCAACACCACCAACAACAAAGAAATGAAGGATAAATAGCTATATTTTCCTTGATTTGGATTTTCATTATTAACAGTTACTTAGTAATAGTCCAGTTCAGAATTCAATTTAACATTTCAAAAATCATTCTAATACTCTCACTGCTTAGGCAAAACTCAGACAACTCTTCAAATTTTCAAAATAGAGAAGATGCAGTTAGGCAAATGTTCTCACATATTTCTTTTCAGATTAGTGGCACCAAATTCTTTCAAAGAACTGGGCTCCTTCAACATAGAAAATCAGTTGGTCATACTTCCTAAATGTTAACAAACCAGAATTTGAAAATTGAGTATTTACTTCCCAGAAGTAAACACTTGGCAGCATACATGCTAGTAAAACTATTCTAAGAGAAAATAAGCTTCATATGTTTTCTCTTTATGTATCTACACCTAAAGATACTTATATCAAGGAAGAATCAAGAAATGGAACACACAGCATCCAATAAAATTCCAGAATTACACTAATTATATAAGAATGTTTCCATCTTATGACCAAAAGTTCATAGTTAATCTTGATTTCAAAATGTAGTCATCCTTTCAAACTATAGTCTGTTACTACAAGCTAGCAAAAACTATTTACTTCACATGAAGAGGTATTTATTATTGCCAGCTTAATAATGCATCTACTAAACTTTTCTAATAAAAATATTTTAAACATACTTAATTTGCAAATGAAGCTGGATTCATTTTTTTAAAAAAGATGACTTTAAGAAAGCATACTACTAATTTAGTGGAATTTTAAGTTAGGTCTTATGTAAAGCTGAAAATTAAGGCTTCCAAACTTTGAAAAAATGAGAGTATATACAGAAAAGATGTAAAGCACTGCCTTTATGTAATATAGGAAACTCACAGAAACTTTTGTGAAATATTTCTTCAATGCATCTTGTGATAAACGGTTATTTTTCTCTTTCTATCACTTATTTTTGAAAGGCTCCTTTTAAATGAATCCAATAAAGTTTCTTCTTATTCAGAATTTCGGAGCTAAAACTGTCTACAAGTACATATTTTTTAAATGACGTTATTTTTAAAGTAAGTTTTACTGTGATGATAAAACTTCATAAAACCCTAAGACTTCTAAATGTTTCCGATGAATTGGGGGGGGTGGACGACAAGTGGACACATCATTCTTTTGCCCATCATCAAGTGGATAATGATCAAATAGAAAGCTATTTCCACAAATTCAAGTACTCAACTGAGTTAACAAAAATACTCATGGTGTTTCAAAATTCACAGATTAACTTTGTATGGACAGGTTCAAAGCCACCACAGAAGCCAGAGAAGAGCTTTCTACAGGCAGGGCAGACCTATTAAAAAACATGGCCTGTGACAAAAATCAATGTTATGTGCTAATCTCAAACCAAACAACAGTACCCAAAGCATAAAACAGAGATAACCTAAGATAAAATGTCCTCAGACTAGCTTGACAGGTTGAAAAGAGGGGTTAGGAAGCCAAGGTGTTACTGGTCTTTGCTGTTTTAACAAGGGGAGAAATGGAACACCCAGGTGTCTAAATAAATGAATGCCCAAGAGAAAAAGATCACATGAAGTTTGGAGTGAGGGGAAAGAAGACAATATCCCAAATTCAGCTAACCAATTTAACTGCTGCTTTATTTAATAAGGAACTAAAATTTAGAAATATAAATTCCTCTCTTTCATATAGGCTGTCTAATAAAGCCCAAAGGGGAATAAAACCAACCAACATAATGAGACTTGCTTTTAACACCATCACAACTGGAAAGCTTGCTCTATTTGTCTTGTCAGCTTTAATAAAAGACATCTTTTCTGGCGGGATGGCTTCTCTTTCTCTTTTCCTAATAGTGGTAAGTGGCATGTCAAGGAAGAAATTGCTTCCCATCCCACCACTCACAGGATTTTCTTTTTAACTCAAACTTTGAGGGATGCCTCGCTTCTGTTAGGCACTGGTTCTAAATACTGGGATTACCAAGGTATTTCTCCCACTCCCAGATTATCGTTGCAGAAAAGAAGCCCCTCTCCCATCTGCCACCAGTGGACAGCCTACGGGAGAAATGTGCCCATCTTCATCCGAGCTAACATTACTTCGAGAGGGTCCCTCCCTCCCATGTCTGTACACTAAAAGAAGGCCGGTGTCTAAGGCTGGTAGGTGATTAGAAGAGTTGGTGGCATCCACCGTCCCACCCTCCCCAAGAACGCTGGGCGCACAGCAACTACTGGTCGCCTCTCTCTTTCCAACTTTCACTCCAGCTCTGGGAAAGACCTGTGGTCTTAGGTACAACTGGTGTTGCTTCCCTCCCAGGCGGATACTAACATTAGCCTACATATGGAATCTCATGTAGGTCCCAAGAAGGTAGAATATAAGGGCCTGAGAGGCAGACTGTGGAACTTAGGGCAGGGGAAAGCAGGGTTCGGAGATGCACCGTGTTGGAAGGTGCGCCAGGCACCTTCCTAACCCGCGTTCCTGGTCCATGAACCTGAGAAGTACTAGGCAGACAAGGTCCAATAGACCTGCTAGGGCAGTCCCAGGCGCCCACACGCCTAGAGGGCTACAGGGAAGCCCGCAAAACAGTTCCAGGTAACCGAGTGCATGTCGTTAGCCGCGCACTGCCGGGCAGCAGGCGAAGGGCTCCCACCTCTCTAGCTTTGGCCAACTCCAGCAGTTTGCACGCATGACGTAACCCGGCATTAGATCAAACTTTCTGGCACCCAGAGCCACTGGGGGGGGAGGGGAACGAGGTGAGAGAACCCTTGCCACTGCCTAGCGCGCAAAGCCAGACTTACCCAGATGTCTGATGATTCCCACCCACTTAAAGAGGAAAAGAAAGCCTAACACATCCGCTCCCCAAAACCTCCTCATTACCCCTTGTCCGTGCGCGCACCAGGAAAAGAGAAGGAAAAATGAAAAACAAAACAACAAAAAACTTTAGGAATGTTTGGCGGGTTTTCCTCACAGTTCTAGAACGCCCACGCTCCAGGAGGGCGCTCCCTGCGGGGCGAACCCACTGCTCCCCAAGCCTCAGCCCTGCGCCTGGATAGGGATGTTGATCAGCCAGCCCAGCCGAATAAGTAGAATGGTCCCGAATCCCCCCTTTTCCGAATCTCCGTGTCCCATAGCAGCGGCCAGTCTGAGCAGCTCCAGGGATGTGGAGCGCACGGCCTCTCCGCCGCGGCTTAACAAAGGAGGAGCGACGGACGCGCTTCCCGCGGGCTCCTCGAAGCCATCAGCGCTCCGGCGACGCAGGCTCCGTGGGTGCGCGCCGCCGGCAGCCGGTGCGCGCTGGTCCCCGCTGCTGCCACTACGGCTCCTCCACAGGGCCCCAGGCCCCACCAGCTCCTGGTCTGCGTCCCCACTGCTTACCTGGGGTTGCTGCTGTTCCAGTAGACGGCGTAGCGGTCGGCGACGGCCTTGGAGCCCGGGTCCTGGCTTAACACACACATCCAGAGCACCAGAAACAGCAGCGTCAACATCTCCACGTGCAACATCACGCCTGGCCAGCGGCGAAACCCCCGACGCGCCACTCCGGGGAGAGAGCGGGATCCGGAGGGAGGAGGGATGGAGAGAAAGGAGATCGGGCGCCAAATAAATATGAATAAATAGAAATGAATGGAGAGTGAGAAAAGAATGGAGCACACGCCGAGCTGGGGAGGGGGAGGAAAGCGAGAAGAAAAGGCGGCAGTGGAGTGGGGGAAATAAAGACAAACTCGTACCCCCACTGGAGGGTTCAGAAGGAAAAAGGAATCACAAAATGGAGAAAAGCGTGTGTGTGTGTGTGTGTGTGTGTGTGTGTGTGTGTGTGTGTGTGTGTGTTTGGTGGCAGCAGCAAGGACGGGGAAAGGGGTGCCAAGCTGTGTCTCAGGCGGCGGCGGCAGGCCGGTCACCCCGGGAGAGGGAGGTGCGCGCTGGGCCGGGCGGCGGCAGCGCGGGTTGGGGCAGGCGGCGGCGCGCGCTGCACAGTCACCGGGAGTTGCGCGTCGCGGCCGCGGGGAGACATACACTGGCCCGCCGGGCCCGGCTCAGCGTCAGTGCTGCGGGGTCCGCTCGGCTCTGCTGCCCGAGGACCTCGCACTGTGCCCGGGTTGGCTCCAAGTTACTTTAGCAGCCGGGGGGAAAATGCAGCAGGAGAGTGCCTTGTAGTTGGGGGAGGCTGCGAGCCTGGGGTCCCGGGAGCCTGAAAACCCTCTTTCTTCTCCTCCTTTGCGCTCAGGCAGACGACCCCAAGAGATCTCGGAGGAGCTGAAGGAGTAGCGAGTTCGGGGCAGTGGACCGAGAAGAGTGAGTGAAGATCCGGGGACGCAAGCCCAGCCCCGCCGGCTTCCTGGAACTGGTTAAGCGGCAGCTGCGCGGAAGAGGAGCAACGCTGCCTCTCAAACCTCAAAGAAAAGTTTGGCTCTCTGCGTCTTCTGGCAGGTCCCTCAGCAGGATCGGACTGCAGAGGCAGCAGCGGCGGCAGGGGAAGACACCTCGGGCGCTGGCGGAGCTCCCGCGGGGATTTCTCGCGCGTGCTTTTCTTGGCCGGGGCGTGGGTGCACGAGAGTGAAATGAAGAGTAGAGGTTAAGACCCAGCCAGCCGGGCGGAGCAGAGATGCCCAAACCTGCAGCGCTGGCGACCGGGAGGGCAAAACAATCACTTTCAAATGTATCCCTTCAACTCCTAGATGGGCTGATGTCAGTCTCTGATCGCCCTCCAGGAGCGAGATCCTCAGACGCGGTGCCAAGGGCCTCGAGTGTGATCTCAGAAGTGTCCCTGCGACTCCGATGGGTCAGCTCCCAAGCCCAGCAACTTGCAGAGATGCATCAATCAGTTTCAAATGGGAAAAGGGGGGTTGGGGGGGAGAAGACACAGCGCGCGCGAGCGAGCGGCACCTCCCCGATGACTACATCAGAAAACCTTCCCGATCCTCCCGCAGCTGCTCCTCTTTCCCTCCTTAGGCACCGCAGCAACAAGAGGTGAAAAGCACGAACCAAATCCTAAAACCCCTACACAGGCGGGAAAATAAATAAACTTGAGGGCAGTCACAGGAGCACGGACAGCCCGGGAAGGACTGAAACGACTGGCAAGAAGTGGAAAGGGGTAAAAGTCAGTTTTGCAAAGAGGGAGAAAGGGGGGGTGGGGGGGAAAGCCAGAGCGAGAAAAAATGCTTTATGGGAAAAATCTCCTCGGGCACGCCCCCTCGTTAATGACCTGCGTGTAAAGCCGACAGCAGCGGCGACCCAGCAACAGCAGCAGCAACAGCAGCAGCAGCAGCCGCACGGCAAGCGCGGGGAGCGCGAGGCCGCGCGCGTGGACGTGGACGTGGGCAGCGGGGGGCGGCTCCGCCCGGGCGTGTGTGCGCGGGGCGAGGGGCGCAGGGCGCAGGGCGGTGCGAGCGCGGGTGTGAGCTCCAGACTAAGCAGGGGGAGGCGCAGTCAGCCTGCGCCCATCCAGCGCTGCCGCCGAGGCCCAGGTCATGTGGGCTGCTGCTTCCCCCCCCTTTTCCCCCCTACCCCCATGCAGTTTACTTGGGAAAGGCGGGGTGTCTGGAACTGCCAGTCAGGCACCAGTCTGCTGTTTGCTTACAGATAGGGTTTTTTTTCCTCTCTTTTTACTCCAACCGGATTGGTTTGCTCTCCGGGAAAGAGGCGTTTTTCTAAGCTCTCTTCCCCCGCCTCTTGCACCCCCCTCCCTGGCCCCACCTTCCAGAAACCTGACTAATTGAATTACTGGGAGTGCCGAGGCGCCCGCTCCTCCGCCGAGCCGGGCAGCGAGCAGCACGTAACCCTTTGGATGCTGAATTTCCGTCTGGGTTCAGGAATGATTTGACATCTTTTTACCTGGGAGTAGGGTCTTTTGATTTTTAAGAAAACCGGATCCCATCCTGTAGTTGGAGAACGGAAGTCTGTCTCTAGGGCCTTGCAGGTGACTTGCAGCCCTTGCAGAAGGGTTAGAACGGAACCTCAGGAAGTGCGTGTTTTTGTAAATCTCTGCCTTGTTCTTAACAGTGCACGTTGCCTGGCGCTGGGCTGTCTGCAAAGCAGAGGAGAGCATCTCTCATGTTTTTCAAACCTCTTTCTGCCACGGATTTTAAAGGTTCATGAGCCAGCAAGACTTTTAAAGTAGTTCTCTGAAAACACAATTTAAAAACATAATACTTGAAAATTCTTGTAAACCAGTGCTAATCTTCAGTGGGTTGGGCATGAATATGCGGCAAGGGAGCCCGTCAGAAAATGTTCAACCTTTTTCATTCAGCCTTCAGGCTGAATTGCTGTCCCACTCCCCAAAGAACAAATGCTTGGAATGAACCCAGTACTGGATGAAAGAGGGCGCCGGTAAGAGAAAACGGAGTTCCCATTTCCTAGGATAAGGCCTAGCGGTCTTGGACAGACGCCTCTGCCACCCCTGGGACGCAGTCTCCCAGCAGCAAGGCGGCTTTGGCGCCTGGGGACGCGTCTCTTGTGCTCCTGTCCCGGGAGAGCGAACTGGGCGTCCGGCGCTGCGGGACCACAAACCCGAGACTCGCCGGCTCGGGGCTCCAGGGTCTCATTTGGGTCCTGGTATTGTTCCCTCTTGCTCCCTCGGGAATAACGCTGAGTAAGAAGGGGTGATACCAGAAAAGAAAGCAACATAGTTTTCACCACTCACACCTGCCTGTTCCTCCTTTCACTTATTAGCCCAATAAAATAAAATATCACTTTTCACCCCCTCCGCTTTCCAATCTTTAGACTAGGGATTTCCAGGAGCTTCCAAACTGTTTGGAAGCGTCCAGACGCCCTCCAGTGGTGGACCTGCAGTCCGCAACCAGCCGGGGGATTGCCTGTAACTCAGACTCAAATGAATTCGATGGAGAAACAAGGGTCATGATCATTAAAGATTGGAAAGTACATAGGCAAAGAGTTAACCACGGTGTTACATTGTATTGTCTAGAAGTTGAGTATTTTCTCAATTACAGGATTTTTTTCTATATGAAAAAATTAATAACTGTTTTATAAAAGCAACCTTTCTATGTTTTCTGACTAGGTATCAAATGCCTTCTGTAGTTACAGACCTCACAATAAACTACCCTAACAAACCAATCATCTTCATAACAACAAAAAATATAACCTTATTACCAGATATTCTCCCTTTAAGCAATTCTGGCAATCAGAAAGAAGTGAAGAAAATTAAACAAGAAAACCAAAGGATAACTCAACTTTTCAAATTGAGCTTTCATCGAAAATGGGGGAGGGGTGTTCAATGCTTTATAATCTGCTGATGTTCAGGTACCTAGCCTATTTTAGGGAGCATTTTTTTCTATTATGAAAAAGATGCATTTCTCCCCTCAGCCTGTCTGATAGCAGTTCTAATAGATGCTCATATGACAAAGGCAGTTTTGCAGGAAATGTTCTGGACCCTTTTAAGTGATATGTGTATCTTTAGGAGGAAGAGAATTTGCGACTCCTGACTTAGGTAAAATGCTGATCCTCATCAGGGAGTCTTTTTTAGTCAGGAAAATATCAGGTATCAGGCTTCCTGTAGTGTAAAATCAAAACGGATGAAGAAAAAAAAATATATATCTTTATCTACTTATTTCCGATTTGGAATACATAATGTAACAAAATGTGAAAATCCCACATAGAGAATAAAATGGATATCATAATATTTGAAATATCTCTAATTTATTTAAATTAATTTACTTAATTTAAAGTATAAAAGTGTTATCTTAAAGTGATTCAATGAGTTCAAATACAACATTGTGAAAGCTGCAACTGTTCTGAGCATAACTCAAATGTCTACATGAAGTAATTCACAAACCTGTATCAAATGCCTTCTAGGATTATGTAACAATAAATTTTTATTAATTATTATATTATTAAACAAGATTATAATAGCACAGATAGATACAGTTTGAAGGAAGTTCTTTTCAGCTTTACACTTAAAAGAAAGAATGTGATTTTATCTCTACACGAAAACAGTCAAATGTTTTGCATTTATACAAATCAGCCTAATTACTGATGTCACTAAGGCACTCTCTTTTAAGGATAAGTGGTTCTCTTGTCAAATAGAGGAGATGTATTTATGAAAAGAGCAAGAAGCTACAAACATCTAAGAATAAAAGCACAGAGCATGTTTAAATACTTTTGTGTTCAATAAGACTTAAGGTAGGACGAAAACTTGAAAAGGTGCCTGGGAATGGTCTGTAAAGGAGATTAACTGTCATCTGGTAAAGTTTGGACTTACAGTTACAGGCAGCCAAGTGCATTGGTGGTCTTAAAACAAGTGACACTGAAGCAATCATCTGTATGTCTCAAATGAAAATGGGATTTTTTCTTTATAAATTGATTGTTGAAATTTGTTTTGCCTTGAACTATCTAGATCTTAACCTCAGCTGTGAAACAGAATCACTTATGTCACTTTCCCTAATTGGTTAAGGATGGGAATCTGGTACCTGTAATTTTTATAAGTTCCTCGGTGAGTATAGAGGATTGAGAATCACTGATCCAGATGATTTATAGAAAAGATAGCAAAGGAAATAGATTCTATAGCAAAAACTAAAAAATGCATAGACACAAAGCTGACGTTTAACAGATGACTAACAACAGTATTTATTCTCCTTTCTGAATGTTTTCCTGAAATATTTAGAATTCATTCTGGAGCTCCATCAAAATAGCAATTGCCATCAAGCTGTGTCCAACTCAAAGCAACCCTGTAGGAAAGGGTAGAACTGCTCCATAGGGTTTCCAAAGCAGTTGGTTCTTTCTCCATGGAGCACTTACTGCATGCCAAGTGTTGGTGAG